CCAAAAGTGGTTCAATTGGACGCTGAGATCGCCTTCAATGGTCTCACAGACGAAGAGAAACTTTACGCGCATTACTTGTCGAAGAGCTGTTGGTTTGGATCCATTGTCTGCTTGTTTCAGGTCTGTTAACCCAAACTCTCAATCCATTGTCTCTTTTGTTAATTGTGTTTTTCCCGAAGACTTCTCCCGAATCTCCGCTTATATTCACTCTCTTTCGGCGTTTATTTGCCGAACAATCGGTCGAAGAGTTGAAGGCTTTATCCCAAAGTGTGGCTCAATTTGATGACAACGAGTGGCGGGTAATTCACACTTTCGGCTATTTTTAGACTTTTATCAAAACAATACTTTTCTCGCAATGAAAGGCATTATTAGTGTATTTGTCGGCGTTTTTGTCAAATATGGGAAATTATCGCTCTTTCGGAGACTCGAAATTCATTCCCGATTTGTCCGCCAATAAAATGGACGCTTTTGTCCGCAATTCCTATGAAAGGCATTATTAGTGTATTTGTCGGCGTTTTTGTCAAATATGGGAAATTATCGCTCTTTCGGAGACTCGAAATTCATTCCCGATTTGTCCGCCAATAAAATGGACGCTTTTGTCCGCAATTCCGCCGCTTTTCGCAACAATCAGAAGGAATTGGAATTCATTTGGACTAATGTTAAGCAAAGAATGTTTTCTCTCGAGAAAAACGAATTGAGTCTCGCTTTCGCTCCAGAAGTCTGTTTTACCATAGATTATCTCCTTTTTCTATGTCTTTAATCCCTGTTTTCTCTCCTCAAAGGGAACGACGACTTATTTCTCGAAGAACTGCACGAAAGAAGATTCAGAAATCGTCAAAAACTTTATGCAAACAATTGTTTGTTTCAATTAATACCTAATTTAGTCTTTAATTCGGTTTCCTTCTCAACAGAACATGGATTCATACAATTGTCGCGTTTTCAAAGACAACGACAAATATGAGATCAGATTCGCGTCCATTTCGTGCAGACTTCTGGGCCTCCTGTCGCTAATAGAAGCCGGCTGCCGTCGCTGCCTAGGCTTCAAACACAATTGCGCGCCGCTAATAAGTGGCGAAGACTTCTAACGCTTGTTTATGAATAACTTTCGCTTAGAATTTGCGAGAAATGAGACCGAGAGTCAAATGCTTGACCAATACATCCGTCACTTCCAATCGGGAGATCTTCGCCGCCATAAAGACGGCTCTCGATTCTGGATTCGCGACAAAAAGCCGATTGTGGAGACGTATATCGGATTCATTGAGAACTATAGAGATCCGGCGGGAATGCGGGCAGAATTTGAAGGCATTCTTGAAGCGCGTGTTTTTGATCACAATTTTCATGTTTTTCTTTCCTTAGGTTTCGTTTCGATTGTAAACAAAGAATTGTCGAAAAAGTTTGAATCTTTGGTCTCGAATGCGCCCTCTTTTCTGCCATTACTTCCGTGGCCTAAAGAGTTCGAAAAGGATCGTCGTCTGAAGACCCGGAGGACAGCGATTATCTTCGGCCGACGGCAGCGACGGATCCGAAGTTTGTGTTAACGCGCGGCGATTATTCACCGCTTCTGAAGATTGCGAACAAATACTTATTGAAAGCGAAGGAATTCGCGAGAAATGAGACCGAGAGTCAAATGCTTGACCAATACATCCGTCACTTCCAATCGGGAGATCTTCGGCGCCATAAAGACGGCTCGCGATTCTGGATTCGCGACAAAAAGCCGATTGTGGAGACGTATATTGGATTCATTGAGAACTATAGAGATCCGGCGGGAATGCGGGCAGAATTTGAAGGCATTCTTGAATCGCGTGTTTTTGATCACAATTTTCACATTTTTCTTTCCTTAGGTTTCGTTTCGATTGTAAACAAAGAATTGTCGAAAAAGTTCGAGTCTTTGGTCTCGAATGCGCCCTCTTTTCTGCCATTACTTCCGTGGCCTAAAGAGTTCGAAAAGGATCGCTTCCTTCAGCCGGACTTCACGTCACTGGATGTGTTGACGTTCACGGGTTCGGGAATCCCGGCCGGAATCAATATTCCCAACTATTCGGAAATCAGACAAAACGAGGGCTTTAAGAACGTGTCGCTCGGGAATGTGATCACCGCCGCCTTCAGTGATCCCAAACCCAACTTCTTGAGCGCCGACGACGCGAAACTCACCGAGAAGTACATAATCGACAGTTTCGAGGTTCAGGTCGGACTCCACGAGCTTTTGGGTCACGGAAGCGGAAAACAGCTCCAAATAGAAGACGGAAAACCCAACTTTGACGCCGAGAAAACTATAAACCCGTTGACGGGCGACAAAGTGGACAAGTGGTACAAAAAGGGCGAATCCTATGACTCTGTGTTCGCATCTCTCGGCAGCGCTTACGAAGAATGTCGCGCCGAAAGCGTCGGTCTTTATCTGAGTCTCGAATCCGAAGTTTTAAAGTCAGTTTTGGTCTCAATTGGGAATCAATTGAAACTTATTTCGCGTTATTTCACAGAATCTTTGGCTTTTCGGGAGCCGACGCCGATCACGTGGTTTACGTCAATTGGCTTTCAATGGTTCAAAAGGGAATCTTGAGTCTCGCGATGTATAACACCACTGTTGGGAAGTGGGGTCAGGCCCACAGTCGCGCCCGTTATGTCATAACACGCGTGCTTCTGGAAGCGTCTCCGGACTTGGTTTCCATTGAATTGGTCGAGAAGTCTCCCGAAGACGGTTTGTCACAGTTTTTCCGTTTCGCTCTTCGGTAATAACGAATTCATTTTCAGGAAATCGCGATCTTTCCATTCGTTTGAATCGAGAACTGATCGCTTCGGTGGGAAAGAAAGCGATCGGAGACTTTCTGCTCAAACTTCAAGTGTATAAGTCTTTGGGAGACATTGAATCCGCTGAACGCATGTTCGACGCCTACAGTCGAGTGTCCAACGACTTGGAGCACCCGTTCCTCACGTACAGGGAAGTAGTGTTGGAGCGCAAGAAACCGCGCAAAGTCTACATCCAGTCGTCGACCGATCTGTCGGAGGGCAAAGTGGTGGCCAAGAAGTACGCGTCCACTCACGAGGCACTCGTCCAGTCGTTCGCCGATCACTTGCGCGACAATGAGTTTGATTTGAACGCAATTGTTTTGGATTTGTGGCGCAAAGACTTTAAACACTTTTATTAACGATTTTATACGTTAACTTTCCCTTTTGAACCATTGAAAGCCAATTGACGTAAACCACGTGATCGGCGTCGGCTCCCGAAAAGCCAAAGATTCTGTGAAATAACGCGAAATAAGTTTCAATTGATTCCCAATTGAGACCAAAACTCACTTCAAAACTTCGGATTCGAGACTCAGATAAAGACCGACGCTTTCGGCGCGACATTCTTCGTAAGCGCTTCCGAGAGATGCGAACACAGAGTCATAGGATTCGCCCTTTTTGTACCACTTGTCCACTTTGTCGCCCGTCAACGGGTTTACGGTTTTCTCGGAGTCAAAGTTGGGTTTTCCGTCTTCTATTTGGAGCTGTTTTCCGCTTCCGTGACCCAAAAGCTCGTGGAGTCCGACCTGAACCTCGAAACTGTCGATTATGTACTTTTCGGTGAGTTTCGCGTCGTCGGCGCTCAAGAAGTTGGGTTTGGGATCACTGAAGGCGGCGGTGATCACATTCCCGAGCGACACGTTCTTAAAGCCCTCGTTTTGTCTGATTTCCGAATAGTTGGGAATATTGATTCCGGCCGGGATTCCC